ATTCAAATATATAAAAGTATGTGATAACCATGATTCCCCATTATATGGCCTTGAAGCCTTATAAAATTTTCACTCATTAATTGGAATGGCTTTATTCTGGGCTATTTGATATTATGGCCTGTGATGCAATGAACAGCTACTTTGAAGAAAATAAGACATAATAATAGCTAGTGCTGATTTAATACCATCTTGTCTTAAAGCCACACCAAACTACGGCTCTTCTGTCTCCATTGATTTTATCATGTTGTAATTTGCTGGATTTTATCGTATGTGGTAGTATAAACAAAAATTGTTATAGGCAAAGAGATAATATAGAAACCATTGATCATTTTTTCTGTTAGCTGGTTCTAAATACTCTACAATGCTTTCATCCACTTGAATGGTGTTACAGTCTTGATATGTTTGATGCTATAGCATATGAAGTTATATTCAAATATTTCAAAGAAAAAGACACTATGGTAACTACTATTAAGTCGGGTTATTTGGTGGTGTAGCACTAGGTTGCTGAAAGTGTCATGCTTTAACCTGTATTGTTAGGTTGTTATGCCCCCTTTTATCTCATCCTCTCCCTTAAAGAGAAAGGATAGAAGGGAAAAGAAAAAAATGCAAGTTAGTTATACCATTAGTGTCACTTAGTTCACTGAATAGGAAAGGTTGTGCTAATATTGATTGAAGAAATTTTTATGCCCATATTTTGTACTTGAGTGACTAAAGATAATGATATGTAATTTATCAACAATTGTTACTTTTTTATTATTTTGTTGTGAAAATTTGTTTTACCTTTTCTCCTTAATATTAACAAATAAAGTAAAAAAAAAAAAAACAGAACATTGTAGACATTGTAAAACTTCAAAAGCAGGTAACAATCAAACCAGAATAGGGACCCTAGTGAATCTTGTCATCTTCAGTGTAGTTGCCTATACTCTCAGACTTGATACTATCAATCATAACAGATTTGAATAAAATCTGTCAATACCAAACAGTAATCTAACAAACCAGATTCAACTAAGATCAGTCATGGTAAAACAGTATAAGTCATACAGGGCTTCAGATTAAGTTAATAGTAAATTAAGAATGATTACTGTACTATGTCTTGCTATTTTTGGAATAGCTGTCTGTGCCCTCAAATCTAGTGCAAGTAGACAAACTGGAAAGAATATAATCTATCTATACAGAGTGGTGTGAGTAATGTGTGTGTGCACTGTACATTTTGGGTCCCGCCAACTGCCTCAGTTTTTTTTATTGGAAGGATGGCAATCTGCTATTTACCTAAGTGGTTCAGAACCTTCTCACTCCTGGACTTGATTTCAAGTTGTATTTCTTTACCTACAAAAACCTGTCTTTCCAACCTATCTGCAGGGTGCTGATCAAGTTGCCCCTATAGTACTCTCTGGTTCCCTGTCAGATAGAGCAATGTTTTCTCATGTTTGATTTTTGATCCAAAAACTCTTTCAGATTAATTATATTTCCTATATAGAGCAGCCTATATAGCCCCTACCTCCTGATCTACTCTGTCTGTCTGTCTCTTTTTTAATCTCCAATACATTGGCTAACCCACTGGTTTCCTACTGAGATTCAGAACCCAATAATACCCATCAAAAAGTGTTAAAAGTTAAATTTATTTTTATTCACTATCAATTTATTTCATTTACTTATTCAAAAAACAAATTAGCAATCATAAGTGCCATTTGAAATTGAAGCTAGAAACTTGTCCTTGCTAGGCAAGTGCTCTACCACTGAGCCAACCCTCAATCTAGTGAAATTATTTGTTGATATTTTCAAGGAATAAAGAGTTATAAATAGAAAACAATCCCTTAACTTCAGGAAGGCAAGTGATCCATTGTTATCAGTTACCCAAAATGATTTGATTATGATAATTAAGCCTTATATTTGGCTGAATCAAATTTCTGCCAGTGGAGAACAGGGAGATTGAGAGAGTTGTGAATCACTGACTTTCGGAAAGAAGAAAGGATTCACAATTTTCAGTATAGAAATGTTTTCATAATTAAATTCAAGCATTAATTTATTACATGAGTTTTTAAACAATGACTTTCAAATGATGGATGCTGTTAGAATGGACAGCTCTTGAGCTGACACCGTGTAAAGCAAAAGGAATAATATTACATTGTAAGAGCAATCTCCAGTGGAAAACACACTAGAACTAAAGTCAAAAGAAGATTTGAAACCTGGTTCTACAGTGCTGGAAGACATTGTAAAAGCCAATTACAGTCTCTGAGCAACATTTAACCTAGCTGTAGCTGTGTGCTCCTAGACCTTCATTTATAGAATTAAAATAGTCTACATGAAAATGTGTAAATTTGCTTGGTTCAAGTTAGAAGATCATTAAACGTTTCTCAAATTTTAATTTAAGAAAAGAAAGGAGAAAATACCAAAATAATCAGTCTATCAACTACAAATACTTTCCCATTGTGTAGATAGATAGATAGATAGATAGATAGATAGATAGATAGATAGATATCCACCAGTGGTACCTTCTGCAGGGTATTGGTTTGAGGACCTGTTGGCATCTTTACTTCCTGAGGCACGTGGCCAGAGGAGTTCCACAATGAGCTGAGCACTCTCTACCCATGAAGTGGAGAAAACCAGTATTATTCAAAACTTGGTAAGAAAAAGAGTATGTGTTTCTTGACATCCCAGTAGGAAGTTGATGCCTTTAAATTTACCCACAGGAGCAGAAACTACTGTAGTCTCACCAACAAACAAGAGAATGCTGCTACTTGAGGTGCATCAAAAACTCATTTGAAACCCCAGTGGAGAATGATACTTTGAGTGGGCAACAAAATAGTTATTCCTCTATGGGGAATGCCTAATGTGAAATATTTGATATATGAAAAAAGAGAATTGTCACTAGTGGTATCATAATTGAAGCCTAAAAGATTGTACAGAAGAGATGCTTTGAAACATACGGAAAACCAACACAAATAGAAATCTCCTGAGAATACACACAAGATATAGAAAGCTGGTCTAACAGACTTAGATAATGGCAATTCCAAAATAAACAAAAAAAGAAATGCATGAGAGAAAAGCTTTCTTTTTTCCTTCCTTTCTCTCTCTTTCTCTCTTTCTTTCTCTTTGTGGTATAACTTTCCAATAGTGTGCATAATAATTACATTCATCTTGGAGAACTGGTACATACATGTATCTCAACGTGATCGCCTTTATTTCTCTTACTTCACCTGTTTTCCCTTTTCTGTCTCCACAGAGTGTGTCTTTCCTATCAGCTCTCTTTTATTTTGTTCTTTATACTTTGAGTTTCTCATATAAAAAAAAAAACCATGTGCCATTTATCCTTCTGTGTCGGATTTATTTTACTTTCCATTATGGTCTCGAGATCCATCAATTTTCCTAAAAATGAACCCAAATTTAATCCCTTTTTACGCTAGTGTAGCTGTCTATTGTATATATACTTAGCATATTTTCTTTATCCATTCATCTTTTGATGGCATATATGATCTCCTTCCATAACTTAATTACTGTGAATCATGATGCTAATAAACATGAGTGCATTGTATCACATAATATTGTGACTTTAAGTGTTTTGGGAAGATACCCAGAAGAGGTTTGTCTGTGTTGAGTGAAATTTCTTTCTTTCTTTCCTTCCTTCTTTCTTTCTTTCCTTCCTTCCTTCCTTCTTTCTTTCTTTCTTTCTTTCTTTCTTTCTTTCTTTCTTTCTTTTATGGATTTCCCATACCGATTTCTGTAGTGTTTTTACTGAGGCAGAAAGATCATTAGTTCAAGTATCAAAGAACAATAAAAGAAAACTAAGTAAAATTCATAGAAAATAATTGCAGTACAAAATAATCAAAGTTAACCCTCTGACAGATATAAATAAATGATTTGTTAATTTATGTGATGAGCTTTGGAAAACAAAGGCATATCATTTTAAAAGATTTCTAATTAAAAGTCATCTTTGCATTCCTGGAATAAATCATACTTATTTTATTGAATTATTTTAGAGGCATGGTGATACACTCTGTTCTGTAATATTTTATTTATATACATGTTTTAATCTATATACATAATAATATTAGTTTAAACTTCTCCCCCAGATTCATGAAACTAATGAAACTCAGGAGCCTCTTATTTTTATCTAAAATTGCAATAGTTCTGGAAAAAATATATCTTTTTTAAATTAAGAAAAAATGTGACCTTTATGTTATCTCTTGTGCCTGGTCATTTCTTAATGATATCTAATTATTTTCTAAATTTCTCCACAGTAACCAATCATTTACACATTGTTTTATTAACTTATCCTTCTAAGGGGTTAGTTTTATATTTGGCTACAATAACATTCTATAACTCATCACTGAGTTTTACCTAATATTTTCTTATGTATTTTTGAATTCCCTTTTTAACTTCTCTATTATTGGACTGTGTTTACATTTCCTTGAATTCCTTACCTGAATTATTATTCTGTTTGATGTTTACAGTCAAGCATCAGTAAATTATAAATTCCCTCCATTCTTTCCCTCTTGGGCTTCACGTTCTGAGTGTACTTGGATTTTTTCTCAAGTCTCCATTCCCACGATGCCTTCCTAGACTAGAGATAGACTGACTGTTTACTCTTTACTGCTGTTTCCTTCCTATTCTGCACTTTAGTAAATACTCCCAATGACACCCAGCAATTTTCTATTTTTGGAGTTCCATGTTCTCCATTTGTCCTCATTTCCTGAAGATTTAGCATCTAGCTCACTGTATTAACCTCAACTGTATGTTATACAAGCCTGAGGCATAGTCCCAAGAAAAGCACTCCTATTTCTCTGGAGCTCAGAAGTTTTCTCGCACATAGACTTATGCTGCCAAAAAAAAAAAAAAAAAAAAAAAAAAAAAAAAAAAAAAAAAAAATCTCAACCAAATTGGGATGAATGTTTTCCTCCTAATCCTAAATTCATACTTCCACTGTCCTTTTAGATGATATCTCCAATGTCATGGGTTCCATGCTCCTTAATCTCTACAACTATAATCTCATCCTATGCCAGGGGTTTGGCTCAGTGGCACAAGCGCCTGCCTGGAAGTGCAAAGTTGTGAGTTCCATCCCTGGTACAAAATCATCATCATCGAAGAAAGCACCTCCCTCCCTGGTAAGCAGTGGTGGTCTGGCAAACCGTGGCCCTTCCAGGGGGAAAAGCAGCAGCAGCTCCTGAGATCTGTGCCATGTTGGAACTTAGGATGCTGTGAAACCAAACAACCAGCCTGCCTCCCTGCTAAGCAATAGTGAACCTACTGATGCTGATGCACAGCCTAGAACCAAATATCCCATTCCCCTATCCCCCTTCTCTTTCCACCCGCCCCCACCCATTAGCAAATGGGAAACAGAAATCTGAGGGTCTCCTGGGAGGTTGACATAGTAAATAAGGGGGACTTCCTTCTACCATCTCTTTGAAGGCAAATATTTTTATTACTGTTTTGCTCTTTTCTGATTAATGGTACTGCTCTATTCAATATTCTATTTTGATAAGTTCTATAGTGTTCTATATTTCATCTCATTTTGATATACGTGATTGAAAGAACAACTATTACAAAGATAACAAAATATACTGTGATACTTATTTCTGTTATGCCGGTAACCTGCTGTGAAGTTCTGTACCAGTTTCACTGTACGATCTTAGTTGGCTTTATTCTGTCTTGTTCTGTTGTATAATTTCAAAATAAAATTTTAAAAAGATCATCATCATCATCATCAATCATCTCATCCTCTTCAATATTTAAGGTATTCTTTTTTTGAGCAAACTCTAAAACGTCAGTATTAAATCAGAATCTCCATGATACAAATTTTAAACTGCCCCTTCTGTTCTCTCTGCTTTCTGAATTTCAAAATTTTGACCGTTTTCAAATACATGTGTTCATGATTGCTTTTCCACTGTTCCTCAGAGTTAATGTTTCTATTCCCCTCAAAGTTTCCATATTACACCAATTTGACAGTTTTCTCCCTATTTTCTTTCTTCTATGCTGTCTCTCTCTCTACATGTTTGTTTGGAAAATACTGATTTAACTCTATCTCTCTGCCCCTTCTTTGCTCATTCTCACACAAACAAAAAGTATATTTATTATTCTTCCTGTAAATCCAAAATGTACCTTCCAACCTAACAACATTTTTCCTCGTACAGATTTCCTCCCACCCTCTGGATAACTAATGTCACAATTTATCCTGTTTCTTCAAAACTCTGGTGTTTTTCTTCCTTCTTAGCAGATGACTTTGCTTTATCTTTCATTGAAAAAAGAAAGCCAATGAGAATTTCCACAAGCTCACACCACAACTACCTACTTCAGAAGATCTAAACGCATGCCCTGGCCCCTTGTTGGTTCCAGTAAATACAAGGCCTTTCTCTCTACTTATGGGCTGAAATTTTTATTCCTACCTTTAGGGGTCTCATCTGGCATTTTTAACATCTGACTTTCTCTGTTCACTCAGTTATGTCAACAACATATACCAAGTCCTAATATGAAAAATTATTTTCATACTTATTTCCCCGTTATCATTTTTCTATTGTTCTTTCAACCACATTAAAGAGTTACAGAACTTCACTATTTTTATTTTCTCCTCTCTCATTCCTTCTAAAACTGATTGCAATCAAGCTTTCTTATTTGCCACTTTAGCAAAACGTGACACCTTGAGACTCTTTCCTTGGAAGGATTTTATGGTTTGCCTTCTGCACCACTCCTCTCTTGATCATGCTACCTCGCTGGCCACTTCTGTCGCGTCTGCCCTGCTGGTTCTACATAATCTCTTACATTTTAAGTCTGCTCAGATTCCGATTGTCTTTTCTGCGCTTGCTGAGCTCATCTCATTTCATGGATGGTGTCATTTACACACATGCCCATCGTTTCTGTGCTCCACCTTAGTCCTTTCTTCTGAATTACAGATTTATAATACTTCACTTTGTAAGAGCACACCTTTGAGGTCATCTTTGATATTTACTCTCACATAATATATTATTTATATACTCCAGAAAACTTCTTTTCTTAGAAGTTGCAAATATTTTCTCCAATTGCTACTAGCTTTTCCATTTTCTGAAAGTTATATTTTATTTTTTAAAACTTTTTTCTGTTGTTGGTATATGTTGTGGCACATAATAAATACACTCATCTTGGAGAATTAGTACATATACACAATGCATTCCCTGATAATTTGTATTCTTTTTTCTCTACTCTCTCCATATCTCTGGGTTTTTGTCTTGTTTTGGTCCAGTTCTTTTTTATTCCCCTATTCCTCCTTCTGGAATTGGGATGTTTACCCTAGGCCATTGTGCTCTGAGATTATGTAACTTATTTTTGATTCTTTTATTTTTACAAAGGTTCACAGACCAGAGTTTGCCTCAGAAGAGATTTGGATTTGAAGTTTTTAAAAGTGTTGGAACTGTTAACACTTTGAAGGTGGGATTGCAAGTGTTAATCTTAATTTGTCAACTTTTTCAGATAAAGAAACACCTAGTAGACTAGCAAAGTGTTTTCCCGGATGTGTCTTAGTGAATCTTGGAGCCCTGGTCCCAAGCGTGTTCCCAAGCCAGTTCCTCTCTGGAACTGTCGCTGCTCTGCTTCCCAGCATCTGTGAACTAAGGAGCTTTGGTCAACCATGAAGTTTCCACCACGGAATCTATCACCAAAATACCCTGAAATTTTCATCTAAATTAAACCTCTCCTTCTTTAAATTGTGGGTGTCAGTTATTGTGTTTCAGCTGTGAAAAGCTGACTAATACAGAATATGTTAAAGTTAGTAATTTGGAGAGCTGAAAAAAAATTGCCTTCACGAATATCACAGTTTCAAAGGCTAGAATTATCTCTGGCTCAGACAACTGCCAAATGAATCAGGATTGATGTTTGTATGATTTTTGAATTAATTATTATTGGAGCTGGAGATGCATGGATTTAATGCAGTTAATTTTCATTACAGTTGTTTAGCTGAAGATTAAGTATATAAGTGGTTAGCTCAAGTCTTATTTGACCCCCTCAAAATGTATTTCATCTGTCATAATGTTCCTGCTAACTTTGAATTTAGTTATACATTTTCTACAGGTGCCTCACAAGCACAGATTCATTATTAATCACAGAATTACAAGCAATGCAAGCTAAAGTTATTTTAAGTCATAAGTGGTTTTATAGAAATAGTATTGAGTAGCTCACAAGACTTGGAAAAATCTGCGAAAGCAGCCTTGGCAAACAGACAAGGATCAAGAAAGCTGTGGAGGCATGCTCCTTACACTGGTGTGTTTAATGGCTCCACTCACATTCCTTAGGAGAACACCTTGACCTCTGTTGTCCACCAGCCAAAGTGAATTTGAGCCTCTTTTTAATTTTGGTATTATTCGTTCATAACTTGATATGCTTTCGTTTTAGGCCATGTTCTGCGTGCTGTGGGTATATTAACAAAAATAAAATAAAGATGCTTACCTGTATGAAGTTTATGGCAGTAGGGAAAGGACAAAAAATAAATATGATAAATAAGGGACATATGTAATATGATAATGTGCCTAGTTCATGTTTCCCTGAAACAGAGGTGGTATTTTCCCTTTTGACACCCATGATAATAAAAACAGATGCTTCATCACACATACCCGCTGAGACATTTCCATAATATGAGGAAAGAATTAGATGTTGGGAGAGAAAAAAATGTAAGAAAAATATTGCAGTGTTGGAAATTGTCTAATTTGTAGTATAAATGAATGCTTTTTGTTATTTCATATTCATTTAAAATTTATGGACCACTTTGCTGTAGGCATTGCAAAGTCATTTACACATATATAATCTTATTTTATCCTCCTAACATTCCTATGGACACTGAATTATTATTCATCTTTTTCTGTGACAAGATAATCTGAAGTTTACAGTGGTTGGTTAGCTTTTTTGAGATTAGAGAATATGATTTATGTGTGAACACATTCTCTTTTTCTTTTGTTCTAGAAAAGGTAGACTTTTTTAAATAAAAAAAGAATTAAAACCATACAGAGTTTCAACAATGGTTAATATATTGTGTATTGTTATCTTCAAAGAAGTTGCTCAGATTACAAGATATAGGCATGAAAGAATGATCAGATAGTTTTTGAGAGCAGAGATTAGTAGCACAATTGTCTATCTTGTATATATATATCTTTTCCCTTTATTTTCTCCTTTCCCCCCTGCCAGTTCTTTCCTTTGGAACAATTTCTTCCCCTTTCACTTTACAATACCTATTGTAACTTTTTGAATCTTATTTACTGTTACTGTTTTTTACACTAGGGAAACAATACAATGTTTACACATGCCTGTCTGACTTATTTCACTTGTGAGTGTTGTCTCAAGTTGCATCCATTTACCTATAAAAGCCTCAAGCTTATCCTTATTTATTGCTGACTAGTACTCCATTGTATAAAAATGCTACATCTTTTGTATCCATTCCATGGGTGATAGTCACTTGGGTTGTTTGGCTATTACAAGATTTGACTATTACAAATTGTGCGCTGTAAACACGGGTACACATATATTGCTCTGGTATGATATTTTCAGTTCTTCTGGAAAACAACCAGCAGGGGAATTGCTGAATCTAATGGATCTCCAATCTTAGCTTTTTGAGAAATCTCCAGATTGATTTCCAATGGTTGTACCAGTCTACACTTCCATCAAGAGTTCCTTGTTTCCCCATAGACATTATTTCTGGATTTATTTATGAAATCTCAGTGTTATTTTAATTTGCATTTCTTGAGTTATCAGTGATGTTGAAATTTTTTCATATGTTTATTTGCCATTTGTAGTTCTTCATCTGAGAAGTGTACTTTCATCTCAGATGCCTATTTTTGGATTGGGTCTTTGAATTTGTGGGGTCTGGTGTTTTCAGTTCTTTATATGTTCTAGATAAAAGTCTAATGTCTGAAGGTCAGTTAGCTAAAAGTTTTTTTCCCATTGTTTGGGTTATCTCTTCCCTCTGTTGGTGATTTCTTTTGATGTGCAAAAGCTTTTTAATAAGATGAGATGCCAGTTGTTGATTCTTTGAAGTATTTCCCATGTAGTTTGCATTGTGTTCATGAACTCTTTGCCTACCGTATGTCTTTAAGATCCCTACTGTCTTTCTCTTCCAGTAGATTTTAATATTTTATATTATATTTTAATATTTAGATCTTTGATCCACTTTGACTTTAGTTTCATGCATAGTGATAGGCATGGGTCCAGTTTAAGTCTTTGACATATAGAAAACCAGTTCTCCAGCACCATCTATTAAAGCAGCTATCTTTCTCCCAGTGAACATGATTCGCCCATTTGTCAAAGACAAGGTGGATTGAGTGTGTTTGTAGTTGTTTCTGCATCTTCTAATCTGTTCCACGGGTTCTCAGGTCTATTTTTTGTCAGCACCATGCTGATTTTACCTTTCAAGTCAGGAATTATGATACTTCTTGTCTTGCCTTTTTTGCCCAGGATTGCTTTTGTTTTTCTAGGCCTCTTATGTTTCCAGATGAATTTTTGGAATGTTTTCTCTAGTTCTGTGAGGTATGTTTGTGGTATTTTTTATTGGAATTGCATTAAATCTGTATAATAACTTTGGGAGTATGGTCATTTTCACAATGTTGGTTTTTCCTATACATGAACAAGGAATATCTTTCCATTTTCTGAAATTCTCTTCCATTGCTTTTTCCAGAGTACTATAATTTTCAATGCATAAATCTTTTGCTTCCTTTGTTAGCTTGATTCCTAAGTATTTCATTTTCTTAGATGCTATTGTGAAGGGAGGGGAAATGTAGACTTTTAAGAACTTTTTATCACCGGGTTAAATCATGTAGCTATACACTGTTTAGTAATTTCTGAAAAGGCATTACTGTTAAAACAAAAAAAAGCTCCCATCCTTACACAAATAATATCTAGTACTCCATTGGGATACTTACGGTTCAAAAGGCCTTGCCTTGTGTTTCTTTCACTGTGCTACCTCTCAGTTAATACAGATTTAGTTACTTTAATCTTAACTGATGCAAAGTTTACTGTGCGTTCATCTAAAAACCATATGGCTCCAGTTCCCCACCCTAGGCAAGATAAATTCCAAAACTTTTCCCTGATCCAAGAGTCAAGTTTAATGATTTTACCTATGGCTTTTGGCAATATATCAAAATAATGAATTGCACCTCCTACAGCCCATGGTTGATTATTTCCACTTCTGAGGATAAGAAATTGGAGGACAAGAAGTAATTATGGCATCCTGCTCTGACTGCTGAAGTGTTGTCCATCCATAACAAGTCAGACCATAAAACACATCAAACTGCATAAAAATTACCAGCAACTGGAAAAGTGTTTCCCCTGACCTCAGAGGCACTCAGAGTCACTGATCTGGGGGTTGCAAGCAGGACCATTATTGTTGCTTGTTTTCCTTCATTAAGTGTTTACATTTGTCATTCTGCTTGGCAATAAGCTCAAGGTTATGCTGTCAGTGCAAGATCATTAGCTTTACAAATTTTCAAAAAGTGTTTGCCTTAGCAAATATTCTTTCTAACCTCAGTGAACATGTTTATGTCCAGGTGTAAATCCTGTTGCTGGAAAAACTGCTTGCTAATTATACTGGCTTCTGTTTTTTATTTCTCTGTGCATGAACTGGGCAACATAAATTCATCAGAAACGTTTTCTTCTTGAATGGAATTAGCTGAATTTTTAGCATAAGCATAGGTAGGTGTATCCTGGTAGGCAATTTCCTCCTCTCATTTGCCCAAGACAAGGTCTAAAGATCTGTGCCTTTTTTCCCTTAGCATCACCAAGGAAACTGTAAAAAGTAACAAATGTCTAGTTATTTTTGGTTAAAATTATGTCAGTTTAATGTCAGAAAATGTTCTGCCTAATGAATAGCTCCTCATTTTATTCTCTGCAATCTCCTTGAAAAGAAAGTTTTCCTGGTTCAGTGAGTGGTGGGGAAAGTTTAGAAAAACACCTCAGACTTTACAGAGTAATTAGAATAAGGTAGATACTGTATGCAAAATTTGAGCTACAAGGATAAGATGGCTATATTTTCCAAAAAAAGCAAAAACAAAACCAGCAGTCCAGAAAAAAGAATGACATGTAGATACATATTCACAACAGTCTGATAACTGCAATAAGAAAATTATATTTTTCATAGAGGAAAGGACACAAAAATAAAGAAGATAGCTCCCACTGGGGAGCAAATTTATAAGATTTCCTATTGGAGGTGAAATTTTTGTTGATCTTACAAGTAAGAATCCAAAGATTTGACTTATAATCTGTTTTACATTTCACATATGTTAAATTTCACAGTGTTAAATTGGAAATATGCACTCATTATTTCTTTTTCTTGCCTGGGCCTTCAATGTATAGTTTGTACTTCTTATATCTCCAAATTAAAATTGTGCATGTATTTACATTCTTACCTAATAGCTTCAGGTAATAACTGTAATGACTAGAAAGCTATTGGCCATTTGTCTGTCTCCCACAATTTGAAGGCAAACAACATCATATTTTCTAAAAAGAAAACCTGAAACCATGGGGTTAGGGGAAAGGACTGAGATATATCATGAAAACACTGAAGCAGGACCAGATGAGCTGGTTGAAGATGATTTCAGAGTCTGATCTCAAGGAAATCTTTGTGCTATGGAGTACGTGACCTTTATAAAGGTCATCCAGGAATCTCAGTGCCAGGGATATGCTATCCTCCAAATTCGTTCAAGGC